CTGTCATCATCAGAAGCAGAAAATACAATGGTGGCCAGATATTTTGAGACAAGTTTGCCCCCAAGATTTATAGATTTTCTTGGGGTAGGAGCTTCTTGAAGAAAAACATAGAAGAAACTAATTAAGAACTTCCTAATTGTAACCTTAATCCTTATGATAATGACTCTGTGAACCATTAACATAACAAGGTTGCATTTGTACAAGCCGTGAAAAATCAAGAGTTTGTTCTTCTATTTTTTCGAATTTCATATATATCGCAGTACACAGTTATCACAAGAATTTCTGCGTTCCATTGTAAAACTGAATCCTGAGAACAAAGCTACTGAATGGGCGTATACAACTAGAGCAATTCAACAATCGCGAAAGCTTAAAACTCAAACAGCTTGAGCAATACTCTGAGTTCGAGTTGTGTTTGCCGCTGCTTCTTTGAGTTCATCCATTGTGAGGAGTCTAGTGCTTTCTAAATGTTCTCTACCGGTATCATCGATATCATCCAAGTTAAGTTCCTTCAATCTGAATTGAGTTCCCACCGCCTTTATGGTTTTCTCTATAAAAACCGATCTTTCGATATAATCCTTCATTTTACATACGAAATCTGTGTGATCTCTTTCCTGCAATACTCAAAACGAAACTGAATTAAATCAGAGGGAATTTGGACTATGAAGACATCTAGACCAAAATGAAATTATAGAATCTTACCAGCCTGTACTGAGGGACTCTAGACGGCAGCTTAAGGTAAGCCATGTTATTCTCGCTATAATCCCACAGAAACGACGTATGATGAATCCATCTATTTCTCGTTATCGATTGAGCATTTCCACCAAATTTACGATCACCAAAAACATAATCTGAAATCCGGAAAGAATACGGTAAACTTTCAACTTGTCAACATAATAAAACACACAAACAAACTAAAGAACAATCGAATCAGTTTTCCTGCAAAACAAACCATTCTCACGAAGCTGAAAATCGCTAATCCCTTTAAACACATCGCTATACAAGGAACCACTCCAAGCCATAACAGAACGCGGATAAGGCTGAACATTAGGAACATCATCTCTATTGCAAATCAAACTCACAAAAAGAGTATTCCTGTCAACAATCACAGTTCCTCCTCCACTAAACCTCTTAATAACCGAAATTCGATCTTTTATAACAGGTTCAAGCTCAAGTAGTTCACAAGGCTTCCTGCATAAAATTCAAAACTTTCACATTTTTTCTGCTATAACAAAACCCACAAAGTAATCAAAGCTCCTGATAACCGTGGAATAAGATCTCTTATAAGTTATAACAACAGGTTCAAGCTCAAGAAGTTCACTAAGGGTTCTTGTATAAAAATCAAAACTTTCACTTTCTTTTTTTTTGCTATAACTAAAATCACAAAGTAATCAGAAAAGCTTATCTTTACCCTGACATTCCCATGACAATGGTGGGTACATTGGTTCCATCGTTAATGATACACCAATTATCAGAGGAAGATCTAAGAAGCCTTTCTTCTAGAAGCAATTGCTGCAAAATCGGTGTTCCTCTAAGCTTAACGAGATTCATTAATGGAAACCCTAAATCCTTGATTCTATTCACACTCATCCTTTGGATCTACCACAAAACTATCCTAAATTTCTCCACTTGTTTTTTTCACCAACCAAACAATTTTGAGTTGCAAAATCCCAATTTGCTCAGACACAGAAACTGAAAATCAAAGATCGAGAGAGGTGACCAATGTATTCAAGTTAAACCGAAACCTGACCGGAAAAATGATATAAAAAAAACAGAAAAAATTGATTTGGATTCGGCTAAGTAAACCATTCCCGGTTAGACTGGTCGGACCGGCTAATACGAGTGATTGAAGACGCAGAAACTCGCCGTTAAATTAAAACCTCCCTAAGACCTTGAGACTTGCTTTAATCTTTTGGTTACATTGGGACAAAAGGAAGCAACTTTGGTCGTCATGTCCTCCGTATCTTTGATCGAACGACGACTGTTAAAGTGGAATAAGCTTTCGTCTTTATTACCCAAACCAATCGAACCTCTTCTTCTACCGATTGAGCACGTTAACAAGCTCTTGAAAATCTGTGCTGATTCAAGTTATTTAAGAATTGGAGAATCGATTCACGCTCATTTCATCGTTAGGAACCAGTCATCTCGAGCTGAGGATGTATTCCAGATCAATTCTCTAATTAATTTCTATATGAAATGCAGAAAAACTGTTCGTGCACGCAAGGTGTTCGATTCAATGCCTGAGAGAAACGTGGTTTCTTGGTCTGCTTTGATGAAGGGTTATCAAGATTCTGGGTTCGATTTAGAAGTTTTGAAGCTATTTAAAAGTATGTCCTTTTCTGGTGAATCGCAACCTAATGAGTTTGTTGCCACTGTAGTTTTAAAATCTTGTTCAAACTCCAGAAGAATTGAAGAAGGTAAGCAGTTTCATGGATGTTTTCTTAAATCTGGTTTGGTCTCACATGAGTTTGTACGAAATAGTCTTGTCTACATGTATTCTTCAAGTTCGGGAACAGGAGAGGCTATACGAATTTTGGACGATCTTCCGTGTTATGATCTTCTTGCTTTTAATTCAGCTCTTAGTGGATATTTAGAGTATGGTGCTATAAAAGAAGGGTTTGATGTTTTGAGAAGGATGGCTATCGAAGATTCAGTGTGGGATGACTTCACGTATATGTCTTGTTTAAGGCTTTGCTCCAATCTCAGAGATTTGGAATTGGCTCGGCAGATTCATAGCCGAATACTAAGGGCTGGTTTCAAATGGGATGTTGTAGTACGTGGTGCACTCATTAATATGTATGGCAAATGTGGTCAAGTCCTATACGCTCAGAGAGTTTACGACGATACACACGCTCAAAACATTGTCTTGAATACATCGATCATGGATGCCTACTTCCAGAATCAGTGTTTCGAGGAGGCTCTGAATTTTTTTGCAAAGAAGATGGAAACTAAAGAGGTTCTCCCTAATGAGTTCACTTTTGCTGTTTTGTTAAATTCAATCGCGGAGTTATCGCTTCTTAAACATGGTGGTCTTCTACATGGGCTTGTTGTAAAGTCTGGTTTTAGGAACCATGTAATGGTTGGCAACGCGTTGGTTAACATGTACGCCAAAAGTGGCAGCATTGAGGATGCGAGGAAAGCATTCTCATTCATGACTTTTAGGGACATAATTACTTGGAACACAATGATAGGTGGATTGACACATCATGGATTGGGGAGGGAAGCGCTTGAAGCTTTTGACAAAATGATGATTGCAGGAGAGATCCCCAACCACATAACTTTTATCAGCATTCTACAAGCTTGTAGCCATATTGGTTTTGTGGAGCAAGGGCTTTATTACTTTAACCAGCTAATGAAGCAATTTGGTGTTCAGCCTGATCTAAGACATTATACATGCATTGTTCGACTATTGAGCAAGGCTGGATTGTTCAGGGAGGCTGAGGATTTCATGAAAACAGCTCCAATTGAATGGGACGTAGTTGCATGGAGATCTTTGCTAAATGCTTGTTATGTTCGCCGGAATTATCGTTTAGGAAAGCGGGTGGGAAAATTTGCCATTGAGATGTATCCAAAAGATTCAGGAATGTACATATTGTTATCCAATATTCATGCCAAGTCAAAGGAATGGGAAGACGTGGCAAGAGTGCGTTCTCTGATGAAGAAAAGGCGGGTTAAGAAGGAGCCTGGAGTAAGCTGGATAGGTATACGAAACCAAACCCATGTGTTTCTTTCAGATGAAAAACGACACCCCGAGATTGTGCTGATTTATGTAAAGGTGAAGGAAGTTTTGTCAAAGATTAGGCCATTAGGGTATTCGCCTGATGTTGCTGGAGTTTTCCATGATGTAGATGAAGAACAGAGGGAAAATAGCCTCTCTCATCATAGCGAGAAGCTTGCTGTGGCATATGGTCTGATGAAAACTCCCGAGAACTCACCATTGTACGTGACTAAAAACGTGAGGATATGTGATGATTGTCACTCTGCAATCAAGCTTATCTCGAGGCTCTCAAACCGATTAATAGTTGTCAGAGATTCCAATCGGTTCCATCATTTCCAAGATGGTCAATGTTCTTGTTGTGATTACTGGTGAAGATTTAAACCGAAAGTTGATTCATATGGGAAGAAAACTAGTGGAGTGGAAAGCTTTGGCGCCTCTACTGCAGCCTCACGAGCTTTAATTATTGTAAGTAGCAAAGCATTTTTTTTTGGAGTTCGCTAGTCATCATTTTATAGGTGTAGATAGTGTCTACAAGTTCAGTTATTGGATTTCATTCAGGCTTAGCCTCTTCAATGACACGTTTTGACAGATTATTCATATATGTGACGATAATTTCTGATCTTGTGCTCTATAGGAGCTTATGATATTAAAGTTTGGTAATTTTTACAAGGCGGTAAGACAATGATATTAAGAGACTCAATCTCAAAAGCAAGAAGAAAAGAAGTGCAGAAGTTGATAAGATTATTACTTTAGGAAATACAATTTCAGCAGAAGTTGCTCTCCATGAATTTCACAAATCCATAGAAATCGATTCTTCCGTCTTTGTTTCCATCGAATGATCTGATCATTCTCGTGCAATTCTCAAGGTTAGATCCTTGCCTTAAGCCAAGTATTGTCAAAACTCTCTGCAAATCTATTGGATCAATAAACCCATCTCTGTTTTCATCAAAGACATCAAAAGCTTGCTTCACTTCCTCCAAGCTCGGCTCTTTCTCTTCAAACAAATTCGAAAGTTCCTCGGAACTGTACCTTTTCTGAAGTCCTTCGCTTTCTGGGTCGGTAAAAAGTCCCAACCTTTTCATCACCATCTCTGCATCTCCTTTGCAGAGACCATCATCATATTCTTCGTGTTTGATCGAACTTTGGAGCTCAAGATCTTTGCACTTCTTCTCGGAAACACAAACACATAGCTTGTGTCGTACAAGAGGACAAAATCTAGATAAAAACATCTGAGCAAAATAAACCCATCTGAAAAAACCGATGAGGAAGAAATCGATCAGACCAAACAAAGGGAAAGGAGGAGG